ATCCTTTTTTTGAAGTGATTATTCGTGCGCGTCTGTATTCTGAGTGCTCTACGTCTTTCAATTAATTATCTAATTCAGTGATTGTATCTGTGTAAGCTTATCTCTCGTTATTTTTGAATGTCTTGGGATATGTACTGATTTGTAAATAGCGGCTGTTGTATTTTTCCTATATATTCAAACATGGGATAAAATGTTCTAAATAAACATTTGATTCTGGACTAATCCTGGTAGTTTTTATTGTTTTTAAAAACTTGCAGAAACCTATTCTGACTAGTTGTGTGTTTCGTGCCTTTAAACAACCCTCGTGCTATTGACAGAAGAAACCAGACTAGTAGAGAATAGGTCTTTATTTGGATCTTCGCGCAGTCATAGTGGGGCGTAGGATTGCCTCTTAAGACAAACAAAGCCTCTCAGCTTTCAATATAAGATAATAAGAAATATAACGTTTATACAAAATAAGGGAGTGAATAAATACTTGAACTCTACTGTTTTGATATATGCTTGGTCGTTTGAGATCAACACTTAACCAATGAACCTAGGCTGTTAAATTAGCTTACCCCTAGAATCGACTTCCGTAGGAACATCGGTTCGATTAACCTATCTATCAAAAACATCTTAGTTCTGTTTCAGCAGCCCAAGGGAGAATTGTCAACTCGCTCACTGTTTGACTTCCAGTCAATGATGACTAACTCCGTCAGCAATCGATGATAGTCTATGGATGTCTCTTTATTTGCTAGCTTGTCATCTTATAGTGTAGCACGTAATTTATTCTATAACTATCGCTGACAGTTTGCTACGTGCCTGCAAGAGGAAAAGTTTGAGAAAATGAAACAACAATATCTGAGGAAGTGACGCGAGTGGGCTACCTTGTCTCCCAAATTCTTTAGATCAATCTTCATCTATCTTGACGAAAATTAACATTCTTTTTGGCCTGTAGCGGTAAATAAATCCCCAAAATAAATAGCCGTGTAAGTTTTCGACATTGAATGCTGACCATATGTTTTAGTGGACTCATTAGCTGAAGGCGCTCGGCCAGGCATCCGTACCAGATCACGTGTGCTGACGCCGTGCTCAACTGCTACTGCAATCGCTAGCCAGATTAGATCAGAGAATTCCGATATATTGGTTATCGCCAAATATACTCTTCCGATCTCCTCGACTATGTCTTTTAATTTCTCTCGGTGGGTACAAATGATATTAGAAGGTGTTGCTGGTAAAAGCGGTGTCAAACACTGAATACCTGTGTCATCCTTCAGGCCTATTCAAATCCAACTCCCGTCTACTTGGTTTAACTTGTGCTCCAGCTATATTTCAGAAAGTTATGAATAATGCTGTCAGTGATGGCAAAGGTGATGAAGTTTACCAAAATGATCTTATTATTCGTGGTCCTGACAGAGTAACTCATAGTCAGAGAGTTTGCTTTATTGCATCGTTCAGCTGAAAAGAATATTACGGTGAATCCAAGCAAGTGTTCGTCTGGTGTTTCTAGTTTTGAATATCTTGGATATCTAGTTGGTGGTAATGGTTTTAGACCAGATATAAAACGACTAGCTCCATTGACAAATACGCCATCTTCGAAATATCTTACAAAACTACGTTCACTAGTGGGTATTCTTCAATACTATTTCCGTTTTATCTTTAATTGTTCTTGTATTAATTGATTGTTTAATATTTTGATATCTGATTCATTTAAACGAAGTGAAGAGTAAGTCATGCTTACGAAGCATACTTGTCAAATTACGTCTACTATGATATTAGTACTGCTCTAATAATAGACCTAATCCTAAAATTGTAGATTTGTAATGATATAACTGCCTAATCTATAAGATCTTACGTGTAAGTCACATCATCGTCTACACCAACTCACTGTATCGTAACAACTACCAATACATATGAAGAACAGGCTTGGGCTGGAGAAAGAACAATATATTTAGTATGAATAAAAGATATAAGTTAATATTCAGCAGAGACCACGCCTGCATGGCCGAGCCATGCCATTCGAACAACTCCAATTCATTCAATTCCTTGTTCGCGCCTTCCCCATCGTTACGTATTTCTCCGCGTTAAATATTGAATATCTATTTTCCGAGTAGTCTCGTATTCAGCTTTGAGGATTGTGTGGTTATGGTCCAATGCCACTACATACTAAAGTTTCTTTAAAATGATGCTGTTCATCAAACTTACTCAGTGTACACTCTGTACTAATTACTGAAGCATCATTTGCGGGTACTGGTGCAGCTTTGGAGCAGGAAGGTAGACCAGTTATTTGTGTTTCACACAAACTTACTGTTACTGAACCAGGTTATTCATAAACAGCGAGAAGCATGAGCTGTGTTTCGGGCAGTTAAAAGACTTCATAAATATTCATTCTCGAAGAAATTCACCGTTGTTATCGATCATGAAGCTTTAAATTTTATCATCCTGAAAAATATTTAGCACGTTTCTCAACTGCTATGGTACAACGATAGAGTATTGCTTTGAGTGCCTATGAATATACGGTTCAGCACAGAAGTGCCAAACAAATCCAACACGTTGACTATATTTCTCGACAATCTTTGCAAGATAGACCTGTTAATACTTCACACTGTTTGTTAGTGCAAACTTTGCCATTAGAAAAACTCGTAGATACTTTGGGTGTATGTTCAGTGCCATACGGAAATGTTGGTATGTTAATTTGAAACTTAGATTTCTTGTCTTTTTTCTAAGAGGTATGAGTTATCCACTACTCCTGATGGCATTTTGTGTTTAAATGATCGTGTTGTTATACCTGCTTCATTGCGTAAATCTCTCCTTGAAGATCTTCATAGTGGACATTCAGATGTTGAGGAAATTAAGTCCTTCGCTGGGCTCACATGTTGGTGGCCAGAGATAAACGCAGATTTATGTCGTACAGCAAACGAGGTGGACTCCATGGCCAGTATCGTCTGAGGATTGGCGGCTAGTTCATGCAAACTCTTGTGGTTTACATCTTGACATATGCTATGGGTTTGTTGTCAGTGATTCTGTTTCTAAGTGACCTGAAGTTTTTTTCGCAACATCAGGAAATCCTGACCCCACAATTTGAGCATTAAGAAATGTTTTAATACAAGCGCTGTCGTCACTTGGTTGGATGGTGAAGGGTAGAAACATATGTACACTGCTCCAAGGCGCCCTTGTTCTGATGGAAAAGCAGAAAAATTCACCAGCACTTTGACAACTTCTATTTATTCCATTGCTGCTTCAACATTTGATGGGCTGGGGAGCATAGTAGACTACTAGGGGAAATAATTCTTTTTTCGATTGTGAGATGTGTAGAGTCTGCACACGATATTTATTACTGTGGAAGTGATCTTCGACCAGTCCCAACGATTATGTGGATAATTTTGGAAAAACTATTGGTTCAAACTCTAGATGTCAATAATTTATGTACACACAACCGGGAACCAGGTGAATTCGTCCCGATTTCTGCTTCCGATTCTCATACTAATGACTGTATTCTAGATCATACAAAGTCCACATCCAATACACAGTCGGACAGACACACGATGAACTTATGAAGGAGAAATATAATCGGCTATAGAAATTTAGATTATCATTTGAGTTGTGGCGGTTGTAGTATTTACACGAACTACCGGTTCCTTTATAAGCAAAGATGGATAGTGGCTAGCATTGGAAACCAGGACGCGTGTTTCGTCCTGTTTGGGACTCGTCAGCAGGATGTACCAGCATCACAAAATGAACATCGACTCTAAGATGCAGCTGACGAGTCTCAACTAGGACGGAACGCGCGTCCGGGATTCCAACGCCAGCCATTATCCAACTCATCCACAAAACAGATTGCGTCTGTGAATGTGATGGCCGATATTATCATTGTATTTCTGAACCACACTCCTCAATCCTTCTCTTTGTCAAAGCGATGAAATAATGCCGAATGTATTCTTCATAAGAAATATTTTGAGGATAAATTAAACTAATTCACTTCTTTTTCAGTTCCAAAATAACATGAGAAACCAGATGTTCCGGACGCATTGAGCACAGTACTGAAGATACTACATATCAGCGGTCTCATAGAGATGCATTCTGAGACACTTCTGATTTTCATAAACAGTGTCTTGTGTAAAAGTAGTTTATCGGCTCTCATTAACTACGACTGGAGAAACATTAGAAAGGAGAATATTCGAGTGAACTTCAAAGGAATATCCTGATATAGGGTTGGTAGGCTGGAAAAAACGGTTGAAACGAAACCTGTTTTGGTGCTGTATAGTGTATATTCAACATTGCTCATCGTGTGTAATCAACGTTTTTTGTGACTATTCCTTAACACTTAGCCCGACATATGCGTGTCGATTACGAAGAGACTATCTGAAAGCCCAATTTTCACTGGCGATTTAATAAAACTGAGCTCCGCTCTCTGCTTCGTAGGGCGGCTACGTCGCACATTCACCTCGAAACTGTTTTAACACTAAAAACCCATAAATCACCTCAATTCAAACATATTTAAGTTGTTGCATTCCCTTTACCCTAAAGGGATGAAGATCTTTTAGGAAGGTTAAAGGACGTATAACGAAGTGGATTACAGGATTAAGGATAAAACCATAAGAGAAAAACGTAACTAACTAGGTGTCATGCAACGAGTTAAAGAGAACATGAGGTGACCTGAAGATGTAATACAGACAAAGTAAACTGTATCAGCCAAGCAAAAAAGTTCAGTTTTAACCTAAACATTAAGACCCGTGATATCATATCTGACAAAGCTCCATTAACCATGGATAATAGTCAACCTGAACTCTTCAGCAAATGTAAGAAAGGCTACTATGGCGGGTATTTTGTAGAGGACACTGGAAAACCTCTCAGAGACCCATTTTTACCATCTTCATTTGGATCAGAGATTACTACATTCACTAACTTAACAACTGCTTGCCCGTTTCCTTAATCAATCAAATGATTGAAATACTTGTGTACTTGCTGTTCTTCTTTTAGCCCCCCTATTCTTGTTTAAAATACTGCCTGTTATAACTGTTCGGTAGACTGCTCTATCTGCCACAAAGATAAAGGATGTTAACTGTTTTAACATATGCATTTTCATCAGTCGCTACACAAAAAGCGTAGCGGCATATACGGATATGGTGAGACATTCGGTTTAAAATTATTGGTGAGTTGGTTGGATCTATACATTTAATTAGGCAATAACAGTTATTTGGTAACTTATCGAGTTAAGAGTTAACTCTCATCTTATCTAAGGATTTGATCAAACTGCAATTCTAGCCAACTGATCTAGTTGTTCACTCTACAATAACACAACGTGCCTACAGGTGCAATGTGAACAATTACATACTTGCATAGACGCAAACCGTTATACATTCTCATTTTTACACTTGATTGAAACCTATGGCTGTCCTTGGTATTTTATCGAATATCACACATTCAAGGATTACAAAATTGTACTATTAAAACCTAAGTGATTTTTATCAATGTTGGGTTTATGCACTGAGTGAAGTTTTAATTTCAGACGATATATTGTAATAAGATAAGGTACTTCAAGGATTCTTTGGGAAGAGGAAAACTACAGCTTAAAAGTTATTGCTAATTAAACTTCAGTGGACTTAGGGAGCCTTAACTTATTCAATTTTATATTTTGTAGTTCTGTTCGGTGTATGTACTTGATAGTAGGTCAGAAATATCTCACCTCGATTTCGTATTGCTAATTTAATACAGTGTGGTTTGTGTACGCACATGAATGAGAATAAATTAGTTGTGTTAATAAACCGAACACCCTCTAGATCTAAGTTTTAAAAGTAATATTTTTTTCGTATGACTTTGGTGCGCCGAACGTTCTGATTTGCTGAGTTTGTATGTTGTCTATGACTCGCTGACTGATAACGTTGATCAAAATCTTCATTTTCATGACCTATGTACGTCATTACAATAGTTACTGTCTTTTAATGGTGATGTAAGTAGCTTGCACACATTATCAAATGAGAAACGTGGTTTCATGACTTTTGCCTGTAACCCTATCAAAAGGACTGTTTTCTTAGTTCCTATTGGCTAACTACGATTCTCCTGCTACTCTTGCCAAGATGTTTCCGAAAAATCAAATCTCTATTTGACTTCATAATAAATCATAGATAAAGAAGTTTTGGGAGGTTATTACGAAAATCTGTGAATACAGTCTGTAGGTGCTTGACTGTCGGTATTGGAAGCCCAGTTCGGCCATAAATAGATTCATGAAACAAATGTAAATAACGGCAGATCAGTGGTGGTTTTGTCATAGAGTGTTATCTATTTTCTATATGCATGGGTAATACTACAAAATATTGTCAATTAGTCTGACGGATATCCCTGCCGAATTGGTAATTTAGTGAACTTCATTACCCAATCTTTAAGATCAAATACATAATAACATCTTTATAGTCTATGGTAGATTCAGTTATATTAATAATGTGTTGCGAAATTTCCACCAAATCCTTTATCGAAGGCTTAGTGTTTACTAATATTCAAATTGAGTTAATAAAAGCTTAAAAATGTCATTTATTGAGACACTAAAATGGACGAGTTTGAGACCTCTATCATTAGGAAGTGGTGTTATAATGTAAGTGTTTTTCTCACAAATTCTGTCTAACTTAGCTATTTTTTCACAAAATGCTTGAGTACAACAGTGACAACATATGTTTTTCGCACTAGGTAGATCTAAGTTGTTCTAAATAATGTTATATTAAGCTGTGTTTTTGGTATGATTCTAAGTGTCTATGTTTCATCGTTACACTTGGGAACTACTTAAAGTTACACCATAAGTTCCGAATAATCTATTTCTGTTAGTCTGCGATTCCACATAGTAGTACTTAAAACGAAAGATAGAATTAATTTTTATTGAATGTTAGAAAACTTTGATCTTTTTGTACTAAACCGAATATTTAGTGTATCAGTTATAAATATTGTGTAAGTTTCTGATAAACACAGATCTCTGGAAAATGCTGTTTTTGGAAGTTATTTGTCTTGGATTCTGTTATTCTAATTATCCCTTTTACAAAATTTTCGATTTGATTGAGTTTTGTTTCTGTAGTAAACCTAAGGATGGAGTATATTTTTTCATTACAGATGTAGAAACATTTACAGATGGCCATGTGAATTAATATGCATTCTACCCTGTAGTTTGTTTGAACCAGAAGGTTTCTACGTTAGAGTTGGTCGATTATTACATTAGATTGGTGAAGCAGTAAATATTCATGCGATGTTACAAAATTCGACCTACATCGATCAGGTTGAGAGACGGTAATTGTTTTAAATACGAATCGTTTTTGATCCGCACTTATATAGCCATTATGTCATTGTTGAAGTCATTTTAATCATTATTATGGCAGGTTAATGACAGTCTTATTTGTCTATTTCCTCGATAAATATTTAGTACATCTTGTCAAAATACATCATGTAAAAAATATGCAAGAGTTTGTGAATGACTTTCCTGGTTTATTTAAATAGCAATTTTCCTTTTGATCAAAATTTGCCTAAAATATTGTTGATAAGTTCGTTATCTTCTATCAACTATGCTGTTTAAGACATTTAATAGGCATATTAAACCCTTGCCAACGTCGATATGAAATTTTAATTATCAGTTTAACGATGGTAGAAAAAGAATAGAAGTGATCGTAAAGTTATCGGCCTTTGACTTCAGAGCAGTCAAATAACTTATGCTTTCCTAGTGCACTAAAACTATAAAATGATTTTGATTTTATCCCCTTGTAATGTTAGAAATAGTATTAATTTGAATATACATATTATCTTACCGAGTTGCATACTGTTTATATTTTGAAATGTTTCTATCTAACGTGCGATTCTTGTTCTTCTAGATGGAATTTAATACAATATAAAACAGTGTCTGTCATAATTTATACCCCTGCGTTAAAATTGCAAGTTTTCATTTCAATTGGTTTAATGATATGATCTCTTAGGTAATAGTTAATTGTTAGTACATTTATTCAGCCACTCATTAAAATAGTATACTATCTTAGACGGAGATCGTATCTGAGGTATTTAATCACTGAATAATCACTTCGATGAGCTAAAAATTAAATTATGACATTATGTTTAGTATTACTGACACGAGTTTTGTGCTGATATTTCTTCCAATGAGCTATGAAAATTTGATATTTTGGAATAAAATTACTGCACACAAATAAAAGAGAATTTATCAATTCGTTTCTTCTCTCTGTAGTACTTGATGATTATGTTATTGTAAGTTTTAAAATATTCTCTTAACTAAAGTTTAAGACTGGATTTTTGTTAATTGTTTAGAAGAGACGCGTGGAACTACTTAAACTTGATTATAACATTTATTTATTTATTTGAACACATAAACGTTGGTACAGAGGGCACCAAATACATATGCTCCACACAATAACAGTGAGGCCAGTAGCAGTCATCACTGATTTGTGTGAGGGCTGGGATGCTGCCCGGGTGCCCAGACTGAAGCAGGTGGCTTTTTTATGAGACCACCCCCGAGCTTTTGACCTGGAGGTCTAATCAACAAAGCTACTACTATTATTGTCATTATTGTTATTATCATTATTATTATTATTATTATTTTCCACATTATTCACCCTCTTTTATACTTATACAGCGGCTCGTCTTTGGTGGAAATCCGACTGTATCTATACGTTCTCGAGTCACTGTCCGGTTGAAAATTGTATGTTACCACCGAATACGAGGACTGAAGCAGATTTTCTGAAACCACGTGCACCATTCAAACTGGCTGCCTTCAACGTTCGCACATTTATGCAGGTCGGACAACAGATAGGGCTGGCTATGTCTTTGGAAAGTCTTAATATCGACGTGTGTTGTCTATCCGAGACCCGTACTCAAGACTCTGGAGAAGTACTACAAATTCGATCTCCATCTGTCGCTTCGAAAAGCTTGTTTTACGTGCGCTTATCCGGGGACCCTGTGGCATCTTCGTCTGGTCTTGCTGGCGTTGGTGTCGCACTAAGCGCTAGAGCTGAGGCAGCACTAGTCGATTGGATCCCCATTAACAGTCGGTTATGTGCTGTCAGATTAGAAAGTTCCATCAAAGTGAGAAGAAATCGGCGTGAGAAACGATGTCTTTTCGTCATCTCCGCCTATGCCCCGACAGATTGCAGCCCGGATGCAATCAAGGATGAGTTTTACCACCAGTTATCTGTTCTTCTCCAGAAAGTGCGTTCGACAGATATTGTAGTACTAGCCGGAGACTTGAATGCTCAGGTCGGGCGTCTAGGCACAGAAGAGAGTCGTTTAGGTGGCCGATGGGGACTCGTTGGTCGCAGGTCAGATAACGGGGACCGTCTACTGCAACTTTGCACAGACCACAACCTGTTTCTGGCTAGCACTAACTTTCGGCACAGTCATCGCCGATGTGCCACCTGGCGTCCTCCCTCTGCATCTCAAGCCTGGACTCAGATTGATCACATCGCGATCAGCTACCGCTGGCGTGGTTGTGTACAAGACTGCCGCTCCTTTTGGAGTACCTATCTGGACTCTGACCATGCCTTGGTCTGCGCCAATCTTGCCTTACTTTTCAGTGGACAACGAAGTGAACGCCATCAACGGATTGATGTTAGCAAGCTGGTTGCAACTTCTGTTGCAAGTAAGTATCGAACCGAGCTAGCCTCTAGGCTAGCTACCACTCCACCGAAAAGTATAGATGAGCATTGGTTGCAATTGCATGACGCCATGAAAATGGCGGGAACAGTCAGTTGTGGGTTTGCGAAACGTCCCGCTTTTAAGCACTGGGTTTCTTCTGGTTCCTTACAACTCATTGAAGCCCGTCGGTCTACTCCGGGTGACCGTGAGTTTGACCATAAACGAAGGATGTTACGTGAGGAAATTGAGCAAAGCTTGCGTAAGGACCGAGAAGCCTGGTGGTCGAAGCGTGCCAATGAGCTGGAAGCAGCAGCTGCATATGGTAACTACCGGAAGCTCTTCCAGCTCATCCGAGCCACTGGCAGCAAGAAGTCTGGTGTGAGTGAAACAATCTGCGAGGATGATGGGATGTCAATCACTAACATCCATCGACGTCTTGGACGATGGGCAGAATTTTTCGAAGGGCAGTTCAACTGGCCTGCTGCTCCGGCAACATCAGTCAGACTGTCCTGCCCTCCATGGCCGGTGACGACTGATCCACCAAATGAGGAGGAAGTCCGCAAGGAACTCCAACTCTTGAAGCGTTACAAATCACCTGGTCCAGATGACTTACCTCCGGCTCTTTTTAAAGATGGTGGTGACTTTTTGACTAAGGAATTGACGACGTTGTTTACAAAGGTTTGGGAACTAGAGAGTGTACCAACGTCATGGAATGAGTCGATAGTTGTCCCTATCTTTAAAAAGGGTTCACGTCGTTCTTGTAACAACTATCGGGGGATAAGTTTACTTCCGATTGCGTCCAAGCTATTGGCTTCCGTCATTCTTCGTAGGTTGTTCAAAACCCGAGAAAGATTGACTCGCGAGGAGCAGGCTGGTTTTCGTTCTGGTCGAGCATGTATTGATCATATCTTCACCCTCCGCCAAATGTTAGAACACCGCCATACTTTTCAAAGGCCAACAATCGTAGTGTTTCTTGACATCAGGGCTGCCTTCGATTCGTTGGATAGGACTGTTCTCTGGGATTGTCTATTGAAGAAGGGTGTGCCTGAGAAGTTTATTAACATCCTAAAAGCCCTGTATAAAAACACCTCAGGCAGAGTGAGGGCATACAACCACCTTTCTCCATTGTTCCATTCGAGCAGTGGGGTTAGGCAGGGTTGCCCAATCTCACTATTCCTCTTCAACTTTGCCATCGATGATATTCTGGAAACAGCTCTGATGAATGTAAGTAATGGTGGTGTGGATCTGTTGCCTGGAGAAAGACTTCTCGACCTTGAGTATGCGGACGATATTGTCTTACTGTGCGATAATGCACAAGGCATGCAATCCGCACTTAATCAGTTGGGAATCAGTGTCCGTAGGTATGGTATGTGCTTTGCACCTTCGAAGTGCAAAGTACTTCTACAAGACTGGAAGGATTCTAATCCTGTACTCACCCTGGATGGTGAGCAGATAGAAGTAGTCGAGAAGTTCGTGTATCTGGGTAGCTGCATAAGTGCTGGTGGGGGTGTGAGTGATGAGATCAATGCACGAATAGTGAAAGCCAGAGCGGCTTATGCCAATCTGGGCCATCTATGGCGCCTTCGTGATGTTAGTCCGGCTGTAAAAGGCCGGATCTACAACGCGTCGGTGAGAGCAGTTTTGCTCTATGCTTGTGAAACCTGGCCTCTCCGAGTTGAGGACGTTAGACGACTCTCTGTGTTCGATCATCGCTGTCTCCGAAGGATTGCTGACATCCGGTGGCAACACCATGTCAGTAATGCAGAGGTTCGGCATCGTGTGTTCGGGCACAGAGATGATAACTCAATTGGTGTCACCATCTTGAAACACCGACTTCGGTGGCTTGGACATGTTCTCCGAATGTCGTCCCAGAGAATTCCACGTCGTGCATTATTTGCCGACTCTGGGACTGGTTGGAAGAAGCGGAGAGGTGGTCAGTGCATGACATGGTGTCGTGTCATGAAAGAAAGCTGCAAAGGACTGGCTTGTGTTGGTCCTTCACGACTCCCTGGCTGGGGTCCGAGAGAGAGTGCTACACAGTGGCTAGAGACGTTATCAGATATGGCTCAGAATAGAAGCCAGTGGCGATCCTGCTGTAACCTTCTTTTACTTTCTTCATAAAAAGTGGTTGTGTCTCCTTTACCTGAAAGATTTCTGATTGTACCTTTTCGTTCCGTCGTTACAACCACACTACCTTACTCCAATCTCTTCGTCATTGTTCTCTTTTTCTTTTGCGTTCCTTAGTTTTTTTTTCTTTCTACTTCTCTTCGAATTCTCATTGTTTTGTGTGGCGCATATATATTGGCGCTCTCCTGTACCAATATTTATGTGTTCAAATAAATAAATAAATAAATAAATAAATCCACAAGGCAGTGAAGCAACTTTAGGAGATGCGGTCCCATGGTACCCAGTGACCAACAATATGTTCATATACCTTTTTCCCTCTCAGAATCCTGGAGCCTATGTACACCACTGCTTCGGAATCAGGGTCACCCGTGTCTACCAACACGATTGAAGCGCCGGACATTATCTTTTCGTTCTGCTAATTTCGTAAGCAACACACATGCTGCGAAAAGGCAGTAATCAGGAGTTCCTATAGAGTGGCTATATACGCGTGGCCACGTGAGGGCATTTCGAGAGTGAGAGCGGACTCTCCC